TTTTAGATTTGCAAGGCAAAAACCTCAGTCTTAGAAGCTGTTTCATAGACTCTGCATGTAAAGCTAATAGCTGCCACCTGGTGGCCAAAAGTACCTATTAGCCTTACTTTAGGTCCAGACATATCAGGAATTAAGGATGTGCACACTTACGTCTTTCATCTTGTGGAAATGTATTAAAATAGACCAATCAATTGATTAAGTGTACTGTATGTAATATGAAGTGGAGTCATTAAGAACTACGGTAAGCTACAGCTGCTAACCAAAAGGTTGGCATTTCGAATCCACCAGCCGCTCCTTGGAAACCTCATGGGGCAATTCTACTCTGTCTATACGGTTGCTAGGAGTCAGAATCGACTTGACAGCAATGGATGGGTTTTATGTAATATAAATTACAAATGAACAAAACACGATTTTTAAGTTAGTATAATACATTTTCTTTTGTAACCTAATCTCAGAAGTGGCATCCCATCACTTTGGCCATTATTGTGTTCATTAGAAGCAAATCATTAGGTCCAACCCACACTGAAGGGGATGTGATTACACAAGGCAATGAATATCAGAAGATGGAGACCACTGGGAGCCATGTCAGAAGCTGCCTACCACAGTTATCTTGGGTGTAATACAAAAAATTCTGATATAAGAAATACCATTTCACTATTAATGTGATACCACAGTTTTTAATTCTAGAAACTGAGGAAATAATCACTAATTGTTTCAGTGGCTAGAAACTGAAGTTCAGTAGAAACTGAAGGATTAAGAAGATCGTAATGCCAGAATGCATGTGTGGGAAGTTAATTTAGGAGCTTATGAGATTCAGCTTTGTACCAATACAGACATCCTTTCCCCACATCTCTCACCAATGGTGTTGCCAACTGCTTGAATAGGTAGTCTGAAGGAACTTGCTTTCTTTGGTGTCTTCTTAATCCATTGTTAGAAAGATCTAATGTGGTTGTACAAAATTATTGAACTTTACATATATTACAAAGCCGCCTTTTTTTAACCCTTAGTCCTAGTTGTACTTTCTAAAGCAAATACAAGTCTTTTATTTATTTATTTGTCTTATTTTTCAGGCAGATGATATTGACGGGTTGTGTGGCATTTGCACGTCATGTTGGACCCACCCGTGTAGAAGCCGAGCTTTTACCACAGTGTTGGGAACAGGTAAATAACTGTATTATAAATGTTATTTAAAAGGGTTTTTGAGTCATGATGTTTTTCAGATTTATTCTCCTGCGTTTAATTTAAAATTGGATGATTAAGTATGTAAATTATATGTTAAATAATATTCTTTTAAGTGATATTAGGACATATGTGGTATATAAATTATGCTGCCATCTCTGTAACCCAGCCTAGTGGTATCATAGTGATCGAGAGTGCTCTGGGATGCTTTGCTTTATCCACTCATTCAACAGATACTTAAGAAACACTAGTTCCAGTGTCAGGTACTGTTGTAGACACTAGGGATGCAGTGGTGAACAAAAGACAGACATTCTAGTGAGGAGATAAGAGTAAACAAGTAAGTAATATGATGTCTCACAGTATGATATATATACTATGAACAAAAATAAAGCAGGGTAAGGAGGAATGCTATTTTAGAAAGGGTTGGAGAAGGGCTCTCTGAGGAGGTGATAACTGGGCAAAGACTGAATGAATGAGGTACAGCAACCACAAATACCCTGAGGTGTAAGTGTGTTCAAAGAAGAGAAGAAAGGGGTGTGTGTGTGTGTGTGTGTGTGTGTGTGTGTGTGTGTGTGTGGATAGGTAAATAAAAACATATCTTGTGTATATTATAAATAGATACAGTATATAATGTGTAAACCTTTGATGCAGAAAGTTTTTATA